AAAATGGTGTGGCCATTTTATTTTTATCATTTGTGGTACCGAAGTAATCCACATCTAAAGTGATAAACTCGGGAATTTTGTTTGGCATTTTTAAGAATCTCTATGGGATAATAAGCTGTTCATAGCTTGCGATACACTTATGGTTAAATGACATATCCGATAAAATGGGTTATATTCTGGTTTCAGGGCGTGAATCTGGTTAATTTGTGTTCGTGAACCTAGATTCATATTAAAACACACATAATTGTCAGAAATAATTAAAATAACTATTCAATTTAAAGAAATTAGTGATCATTTGCCGAAAATTGTTGCCAAAGCAAGTTCTGGAAACTACCTCTTTAGATGTGGATTACTTCGGTACCACAAATAGTAATATTTAATAAGATTTATATTCTAACGATTATTTTACATATTATATCTATTTCAAATAAATCTGTATACAAAAAATTATATCAAAGTGTTATAAGTCAATATTATTCAGGATAAGTTATCTAACAAAAGCATATAAATTAAATATTTGATTTGATTTTACTCAAAATATTTGTTTTCTATTCAATTAAAATAAATGACACCATTTGAGTTATTTTTGAGACTAATTTACATAATTTTTATTATAGCTTAAGCCTTAAGTCTTAAGCCATCTTTTATTAATGATAACAATATATTACCTTGACAGAACTTGAACAGGAGGATCTTTTGATTATATTAGTTAATTACAGTACAAGTAATCAGTAGTGCGAAAGGTTTAGGTGCACTAGGATTTTGTAATAAATTAAATAACTGTTTGGTTTTGAAAACAGACTTATTAATTATAAGCTCACTCATTAGAAGTTATCATTCAATTGTGAAACACCTGAGTATCTGAAAAATAGTTATATCTCTATATTAGAAACATTTTAATCTCTTTATATTCTCAAGTGTTAAAACTTTTCACTTCATAATAAATCATAATTTTAAGAATACCTATAATACCCAACTTGAATTCATTATTTGTGCACATTAATATCTGAATCAAGTATTTTATAACATTATTATAAAACTGTATATGCAATAATGTTATAAAATTAATAATATTATAGATTAACTGCAAGACATTGATTTTATAAACTCAACTGCTACAATTTCTATGCGGTAACAAAGACTAAAACCTCTCCTTTGGTTAGCAAAGTTATTAAAAGCCTTTAAAAATGTTATCAAGATCCTACAATGAATAATCCAAAAACAAAAATAATTCAATTTTCAATTATCAATGATTTAATTCTTAATTTAATATAATTAATATTCAATGATTGAAGTGTTGATTGTTGATTCATATTAATAAATATGCTGTACTGAATACTGTATGAATAATAGTTTTGTAAATAATTAAATAAATTTTCTAGTTATGTTATATTTAAGTTAATATCTAAAAGAAATAATATAATTAAAATAAGCAAAAATCGGTAATATTTAAAAAATACCTAAAGCTGAGATAGGTAATTATTAAATTATAACCACTGTTTGAAACGAATATTTCACAATATTCACAGGGCAGTGTGATACAAAACTGAATCTACTATTATAAATATCATTAACAAAATAAATCAAAATGGGGTTAGGTTAGGTTAAATGTGAAATATTAATTATAATGATACTCATATGATAAAATATATAAATTTGCATGAAATTTAGGGAATCGTTATAACAGTAATATCTCCGGCATTAATGGACTTTACATGCATTTTAGACGTCGATCCCGAGATTGTCACACATTTCTATTCGTTATACTCAATGGGAACACTATGTGGATCATTATGTAATTGAATTAAATACAATTGTTATACGTTAACCAGATAATGACAGTATATTTTGTTTGAATGGAAAATAGTTGGTTTTCTCTTTAAGTACATAAATCGCCAATTAACCCTGATCGTCACTCTAATGCTCTATGGCTTAGTAACAGCATTATTGCCAATTAGTCCCGATTTTCCAGTTATGTATTTATTTGGATTCATTAGTGGAATCGGTTCAGGAGTTTTAGATATCGTACAGACAGTCTGGTTGATTGAAATGTGGGATGAGAGCGGATCGGTATTACAGCTGTCGGAGTTTGCCTACGGGATTGGCATTACAATTGGACCTCTCATTATTGAGCCATTCCTTGCCGGTAAAGCATGCTTTACACACATTACTAGATTATCAAAAACTACCATGGTACATCTGCACAGACATATTATAGCATTAGCCAAACTATTGTTAAAAAATTTTTTAAGACATATTAAATGCATCAGTATACAATACAAAATATTCATTTTTAAGTTTATAAAATATTCAGTGAATGAATACAATTAGAAATAATAATAAAAAACTTAATGAGAAATTGAGGATTAGTTGAGAGTAATAGAGAACAATATATGATATATTAGTAATTTGTATTGATAGTACCGATATATACTGTACTAGTACTATTAACTATAGTTAACTATTATGTGCTATAATAACAATTGTTTGATAATTGGTGGTGACTGTAGGAGATGACGACTGTTTGGACAATACAATCCCCATGAATGAGACGGTGAATTACAGTGAAAAGCTGATGCCTGCCTTTGCCATTAGCGGTGCACTGCAGATATTGGCCGCCATTCTACTATTAATCATGTATTTGTTCCGCAAATACATTCCTACCGATGGAGAAGAAAGGGATTTGATTGAGAAAGAGATCGAAGAAGTACTGAAACCTATGGAAAAAAAGTTTCAGCGAAGATATACCGTATCGATAGTGGAAGAGCGTGACACTGATTCTGGTGTGGGATCTATCGGTGGCCCCAAACTAAGCCGAGAGCCCCGGTATTCAATTCATGTGATCGGTCATCGCACTGATGCACTCAATTCGAGGCGCGACAGCAATAGGTTTCATACTCTTCCCAAACGCAAGAACTACTCGAGCTTTCAGGTGAACGATAAAGAGTGGACACAACCGGTCCACTCAAGAATGCCGGAGCGGCTTATGATTGCTTTCGGGGCCATATGTTTCGCTACCATATTGGTGGCCGAAACTGCATTTCTCGACTATTCGCCAACATTTTTCCGATACTACTCCGACGTTAAAGGTATGTCACTAATGATAAGGCATTCAATAAGTACCTTGCACAATTTTTCATAAATGTTAACCAAGTTAATCCAATTGCACATAGAATGCTTAACAATATATGTGTTGACCCATCATAGTGAGCCCCTGTCCCGGTGAAACATACAGTACTTATTGAGTTGTTCCTAAGAAATCAAATAGAAATGAAACGTTTGGACACTCCATAGGCAACGAATCGGCCATTTTGTTATCTGTGGCGACGGCCGCCTACACCCTCACCCGTCTCCTCGGTATATATGTGGCGATGCGGGTAAAGCCCGAACACATCCTATCCCTGCATTACGTCATAGTGTTGTGCTCTCTCGTCGTCCTCTGGTTCTCAGACGACAGCGTTATAGTCATGTGGATCGGGAACGTCCTCTTCGGTCAGTTGTATCATTCAGTTATTTTTCACATAACAGACAGACAGTAGTATTGTACAGAAATCAATCATATATTAGTGTCATTTGTATTAGAATTATACAGCTATACAATTAGTATAAAAGGCTTATATTGTACTCACTTTCGAGTAAATGTATAATCGATAAATGAGTAGATTATAAACAATTCCAATTAGCAATGAGAAATTTTGTATTTCTTCTATGTTTTCAATATTGTTTTTAATTTTAGTCAAAAGCAAGCTTATTAATAATTTGTTTTACATATGCAATTTATTCAAAACTTAAAAGGTTTTAATTTTGACTAAAATTAAAAAGCAATATTGAAAGCATAGAAGAAACACAAAATGTCTCTCACCTGTCAGTATTAGATCGAGTTTTCGTAATTAAATATATTTTAATATATTTAATATGCAATAACATTTAAGAATCTAAATGTTAGAGTATGAAATATGATGATCAACAGCATTAGCGGCTAATAAAAAAGCAATATTATGATGTTATACAGGTATAGGGATCGCCACGTTCTGGTCGGCCACCTTCTCGTACATCGAGACATATTTTGAGATAACCGACAGAATCGGCACAATCTATGTCTCACTATTGGGTTTACTAGAGATTGTCACCCAATTCATTGAGGGACCCTTTCTCGAGGATAACCCCGAAGTGTTGTTGTACTACTTGGGCGGCGCCACCGCTATTAGCGCCGCAGCATTCGTGTTGATCCGGGTAATCGTATTCAAGACTCATCTCAAACCTAATATCGATAGCAGTAGTGATAGGAAATCGATATCAACAATAAGTCATAATAATAGTATTGTATTTGATGAGCCAAATGTAACCAAAATTTAATTTATTTTAATGTAAAAATTTAATTGATTACCTTATTAAAATCAAACTTATTTATTTATTATAATGTTTAAAAATAGTACTATATATTAATATTATATTATATGATTGGCGACTGCAGTCCAGTGGACGGGTAAGCCATGTAAATTATAATTAAAAATAGTTATAGTTTTCGTTAGCACGAAATATTAACAGAGTATCTTCTGTATGACCTAAACTAATATTTTAACCACAAATTATAATTTATCTGGCTTACCTTCCACTGGACTGCAGTCGTGGGTAAAAAATGAAGAAGCTTCTTAAGACCATGTTAAATATGAATACTTTTATGACATTACTCTTACGTCTCCACAACATTGACCAGTATGTCATACAGTATGTTTTAATATAAATTATATTGAACTTGTGTTTATATTGTAATGTACAAAAGTTGGATAATAAATTGATATTTAATATTCCATTTAATTCTATATTTGAATTACAAAATAAAGTTAAAATGGAAAATATTTTTCATTTATCAAATCTAAGAATTTATATTATATTATATTTGAATTCAAAAAATAAAGTAATCAAGATTAAGATAAAATTAAACAATTGTCTACAATAATATGATTAGTAAATTAAAAATTTTCCAACATATAATTTCTTAGAAAATATAATTTGATATGATAAAATCACTTATAAATACAAAACAGAAAACTAACAAATCGGAAGTATCTTCAGGTTAGAAAAAATTAATGGCATTAAAAGAAATCATTTTCTTTATTTCTTAATCAACAATTATAATAATTTAAAATGCAATTTAAACATATTATTAAAGTAGTGCGAATTTTAAAAATTAAATTAAACACTTACACAACTTAAACAAATATATTTATAATAAAACTCGATTGGAAAAGAAGATCCTGGCTAAAATTAACGTGTAAAATACAAAATTAATTTAAAAATTTAATATTATACGAAATAGTGGGTAAGCACCTTTTCCCAAATTTGGTCTTTAAAGTCTTTGAATATATTATTAATAATAATTTATTGTTATATTAAATTTCATAAAATTAATGTAATATATTTCTATAAAAAATATTTACTAAACTCATTTAGATATTATTAAATAATTATAATGAATTAATTAGTGTAACAGTACCTAAAAATTATGACCACAGAAACATTTTAAAAGTATTAATAATTCATTTAATAAAGATCCACTATATTAATATTTATATAAAAATCATTTGCTAAAATAATTAAAATTAAAATTATTACAAACTATAATTTGTTAAATTATTAATTGACTAATTTTACTTAACAACATAATTAACAGTTTATTTCTTACGAGTTAGCATTGACCAGTACTATTAAATTGGTACCTAAGTGCAGGGGCAGACACTTGTATAGTCACGCCTATAGTACACTAACCTTTGTATTGAAGCACCAGTTAGGTTTTAAATTAGTCGATTATAAAAGCATACTAAAGTAGTTGGGTACATTGTTTATAATACGTTCGGAACTGGTAGTGTGAAAATCATCACTGTCGATGTCCCTGTTCTTCACAAAATTATAATTACCTACTTGAATTAATTTATTTCTAATACAAATAATTTGTAATGTGAATTAATATTTTTTACTATTGACTAAATCATTTTATAATAGAATATCATATAACGTTTCATAATAAAGATAAAATTATTTATTAAAACCACAATTAATATCTACAAATTATTTACGTTAATAATAATTTAAGTTTTTAATATTTAATAATAATATTTTCTAATATTTCTCAAATAATATTAATATTTGAAATCAATAATAGTGTTTAGTTTTTACAGCTGTTTGTATGGAATCAAGAACACGACTATTAAAGTAAGATATTCTGTAATTCTTTATTAAAATTCTTTATATTTAATATTTGTAAATTTTATAAATTTATAACAATTATATTAATGGACTATTTGTTGAATAATATTAATAACAAACAACTAGCTCATTTGTTTGTTGTATAACAATTCTTTTAAATAATTCCTATAAAAGTTAAGTGTAATAAAAACAATTTCAATATATGAAAGGTCATCTCAAAGATTCAATATATTGTATAACTTTATTTCTAACATATTATAGTAGTTTGAAACCTTTAAAAATTGAATAGAATAGATATTCATAATTAAAATATGATATCAATCATAATGCTTAATTAAGTTGTAATATTGTGCTTTAATTTTTAAGTAAAACTTAAAATATTTGTATGCAATCACTACTTACAATGTTATTAAATCATGCTATATTAATATAATTGAAATCACGCCACCGGATAGAGTGACTCACCGATACATTTGACAGGTTAGGTAATTATAGGGTACATACAAGACCCCAATCAACCCTGACATTAGTGCCTCTATTATTACGGTCTAAGTTAGTAGTGGAGTGTGTGAAGTGGCAAACACTGGAACGCTGGACACAAATACAAGTGCTATGAGTCTTACCGTATGAGTGGTTTGTAACATAGGCTTATAGTATGTATGTATGTTCAACACTGTTATGAATTCTTGCACACATTCCACTACAAAACTAATGATTAAACACCAACAATTTTCTAACCAATGTTATCAGTGATTTCAAACAAGCAAGATACATAATGTGTTTTAAACATGTTACTTAAATATATACAAATTATTAAAAGCAACTTAAAAATTATTATGACAACCTACTCACCAGTGATATGTATACGATAAACAGTTTACCTGTATGACCAAAATATCATATGCAATGTTCAACATATGTTGCATATGTTCAGAAGTTATTGCATTTTTAGTAAATTACTATATATATAAACATGTTCTTAAAATATTTGACTTGATAACTATAGAGAACAATAGAATGGAGTAAAATAATTTAAGCTCGTTCCTAAATTAAAACTAAAAATATTCTGCAAAAAAGTAGTTGTTTTCAATTGAGTTAAACCAATGTTTCATATATTGCTTAAAATTTGAAAATTGATTCTAATAAACGTTTAGTGTTATCTATCATAAATACAAGGGACATTAGAAATGATAGAAATTTAATCCCAGGTGTAACTATTTATAAAAATATTTATAATATAGTGTATTTTAATAAAAACTGTTAATTGTAATGTCAAAAATCAGGTAAATCATATAGACACTACTGTGTTTATTTATTTTGAAAGATTTACTGTTTATAAAATATATACTGTATTATACCAGTAATTTTAATTGTTATACTTATAATGAATCGTGTCACATGTTTGCTAATCTAACATAAAACGAAAAATGTTTTTTTTAATAATAAAAGATTGAAATTTAATAAGAATTTTGGTTTAGAAGTTACTTGGTAGAGTAAAACCTATTCTTGCTTATTGAACTTGGAACACCATTGAATAAATGAATACTAGCTCTGTCAAATATAATGTATTTGTAAAATGAATGTTAAGATTAATAATTAAAAAGATATGAAATGTGGTGAATGGAAATGAATTTGAACGCATTTGTGTGATTAGAGCAGATGTAGGCGCTATTCGAGTGGTATTATTGGTGTTTGTGATTGTGGTGATCAGCCTATCGTCCTCACAATGGGTGCCATCATCTCGAAGAATGAATCGGAAGAGTAAACGAAGTTTCGCTACTTTGAAATGTTTGGGCGCTTACGATAGATCTGCTTTCGCTAAATTAAATCACGTGTGCGATGAGTGCTACCAATTGTACCGGGATCAACACATCCACACGGCGTGCAGGTATGGTATGGTCCAGTACAATCTAATATTACAGTACAATAACATTGTAATATATAATATCTAGCCTTAGAAAGCAAAATCAGGATTATATATAGGCTTTAATAAGTTTTATACTTTACTCGAAAGCAATGAAAAATATTAAAATTCATAGACTATATATAATCCTGATTTTGCTTTCTAAGGCCAGATATACTCTATTCTGTATAGGAATGAGTGCTTTCAAAACGATATATTCTTGGGATGTGTGGACGCACTGCTTCTCTCACAACATCACAAAACACTTAAACAAATGGTCGACCAATTGAGTGGCAAGTGATCACTACCTTGTGGACTACATCCAAGACAAGTTAACAAAACACCAAAACACCACATATTTTAGAATATTGAGATATAAGCACAGTATCTACAGTATTTATACATGTATTTATACAGTACAACAAATGCATCACTTATTTTATTGAACTATTGTATTAATTTTGTTATAATAAATGAATACATTATAATAATATACAAATAACTTTATATGCTGTAAGTTATAATTAAGATCCGGTAAAATCTTTTTAAATAGTGTTTAAATAGTATTTATTATGAAATATAATTTAGGAGCAAAGCCTTAATATTAGCCAGCATATTCATCAAACATATATAATAAACTAATGCAAAATATGAATGTTTTAACACAAGTAAATAATCAACTTAGTTTTTAATAGTTTATTCATTATATATTTAAAATAAACCAACCAGGGTTTAAAAACCTATTTATATTAATGATTTAATGAAAATTATTGAATATACTGTACTAATAAATTCATACTACCATAAGTTTATTGATTACACATCAGCTAATATTTGTGGTGAATATGCTGGCTAATATTAAGGCTTTGTTCCTAAATTATATTTTATAACTAAGAATAGGTATTTTATTTAATAAATAGTGTTAACATAGTTTTATTATAAATTATAATTTTGGAGCAAAGCCTTAATGTTATCTATTAGATATATAGACAATATACTCATATAAATATGAATGTTTTAACACAAATTAATTAATCATTCAAGAATTTAGAAGTTTATTCATTTTATAATGAATAAATAAATTAATAAAAATAATCAGTTTATAAAAGTCTATGAAAAATAATGATTTTATACATTTAAACAATTCAATGATTCAATTTTTATATATTAATATTTTATATACAAAATGAATAAACTTTTAATAACTAAAATAATTTGTATATTTGTAGTAATGCATGCATGCACACATAAGTTTAAAGTCTAAATAATTAGTGAATGTTCAGGGTAACATTAAGGCTTTGCTCCAAAGTTATAATTTATAATAAAACTATGTTAGCACTATTTATTAAATAAAATACCTATTCTTATTTATAACACATTATTTAAACACTATTTAAAAAGATTTTACCGGATCTTAGTTATAATATAAATATAAATATTGATATGAACTGAACGTCGTTAGTAAATGAATTTAGCTGATGGTTAGGCACATGATTGTATTGATTGTATTGATTGAATAAATGATTCAAATATAAGAATACAAATATTCAAAGGTTAGCCCAAACTTAGAATGACATGTGAGTCCAGACGGTCTGACGGTCTGACCACTTAAGGGATATTAATAATTAGATGAGAGGATCATTCGTAGACGTCATTTGTTGTGTGTTTGTATTGAATATATTGAAAACAAGTTGAAACCAAATGAGAGATTGTGTCACAAATTGTCACAAATTGTCACAAATATCTAATCAATTGTTTTATTGTTTTATGAATACATTGCATGTGATTATCATTATTATATTATTCATCATTAAGTATATTATGATTACTTTACAAACAAATGCAGTCTCTGTTCACTAATAGACATAACAGTAATAGACATATATTGTTGACATAAGTGTATAAGTAATAGAGATGACTATTCACTGTAATGACAATTGTGTTCAATATTAAGATTCATATGAATTATTGAAATTATATGAGGTATGAAAGAGTCATTCAAGTCATGTGTCACCCATTGATCCGTTGAGATATGGGTTGTTGTCTTCCAATCGGTTCCCACGACAAGACCGACGAGAGGGAGGGGTCGGTGAGCGGTGGCAGTGGTGTTGGCGGTGGTGTTGGCGGTGGTGTGGGAGGAGTGGCGGTGAGTGCGAGCGAACAAAGCCGACGATCCAAACGCATAGACCAGATGTTGGCGAAAGACAAGCGACTGATGCGCCGACAGGTGAAGGTGTTGTTGTTGGGCGCGGGCGAGTCGGGAAAGTCGACTTTCCTGAAGCAGATGCGACTGATCCACGGCCACAGTCTGGTGGACGACACTCACACCGTTGACCACTACAGACACACCATCTTCTCCAATGTCATCAAAGGCATGAAAGTGCTGATCGACGCCCGACTCAAACTGGGCATCGATTGGGGACAACAAGACAGCCAACGACACGCCCAACACGTCTTCTCCATCGACAGCACAGCGACCATCACTTCAGCACTCTTTGCACAATACATGCCATCGATTCGCCAGCTCTGGGCCGACGACGGCATCAGACATGCCTTCGACCGCAGAATTGAATTCCAATTGGTATGCAATGAATGAATGAATGAATGAATCACTCCATCACTCCATGTGATCACCTCTTTGTGGGCACCAGTGATGCAGTCAATGACTACACCACTGATGTCGCAACCACTCAATGACTCAATCATATGATATGAGAGTATAGTTTAGAAGTTGTCATAAAGTGGTGGCCAATGGTGTGAATGGTGTGAATGCAATGAAATGTGTATTAATAGAGTGTTTGTATGACTGATGACAGAGCGATGGCGTGCGGTATCTGTTTGACAACATTGAGCGCATCGGTGCCCAGGACTACGAGCCCACGAATCAAGACATTCTGTACTCACGTAAGGCTACCAAAGGGATCGCAGAATACTGTGTGACCATCAATAAGATACCGTTCCGTTTTGTGGACGTCGGCGGACAGCGATCGCAGCGCCAGAAGTGGTTCCAGTGTTTCGAGTCGGTCACGAGTATAGTGTTTATAGTGTCGTCTTCAGAGTACGATCAGGTGCTGCTCGAAGACCGCGACAAGAATCGGCTCCGGGAGTCGCAGAACATCTTCGAGACTATAGTCAACAACCGATGCTTTACTGAAGTGTCTTATATTTTATTTCTCAACAAAACCGATCTTTTGGAAGAAAAGCTCAAATTGGTGAGAATGAAGCGCAAACACACCGATGCTGCTGGTGGTGGTGGTGGTGGTGGTGGTGGCGGTGGCACTGGCGGCTGTCACAACCCCGTAGTCGTAGTCAACGCTCATTCAGCGACGGATCGATTACACGATCGCCACAACAGTATTCGTCACAACAATCATCACACGATTGATCACTACTTCCCAGAGTTTGGTGGCGGAGATCCCACAGACTTGTCGACCGTCCAGTCATTTATTCTGCAACTCTTTGAGTGCGTCCGCAGAGATAAACGAAAACAACTGTACCATCACTTCACCACTGCTGTCGACACTGAAAACATTAAGTATGTGTTCAGAGACGTCAGGAATACTATACTCCAGTCAAACATCACTCAACTAATGCTGCAATAGAGAGACAAAAGTCGACACAAATGTTGATAAATGTGTTGAAATCATAATATGATGTGAGCTTCCGTTAAACCAATTGTTGTCATAATTAAGCATTTGTCACAATTTATGCCAAAGTTTTATAATCAAAATATATATATATATATTCAATAAATTGTTTTTATTAAGTAATTTGTTTGCTTTCAATTATTTATTTAGGTTAGGTTAGGTTAGGTTAGGTTAGGTTAGGTTAGGTTAGGTTAGGTTAGGTTAGGT